CCCCAAAACCCCAAAACCCCAAAACCCCAAAACCCCAAAACCCCAAAACCCCAAAACCCCTAATATATTCTGGCTTACTGAATTAAAATTTGGTATTATTTAGGGCTAATCCTATCTGAAAGTTGGAATATTCCCTCTTGGAGAGGAAGCGAGGAAAAGAGAATAATCTCGACTAATTATTCAGCATAATTAAGGTAAATTTAGTCTCCTCCAAGTCTTACTCCTCGACCTTGGAAAGCATTGTAATTATTATTGTTATTGCCTGATACATCTCGAACGTTATTCGGTTGAGGAGCTGGCTGAGCTTGATTGGCTTGATTTTCTATATAGTTAGTTTAATATTATTCTCTAGTATATACAAATCTAAACTTGGTGAAATCACATAATTTTTGCAAAATGAATACTTACGAGGAATTCTTTGATAATCTCCTTCATTTCCTGGGTTTTCTCTTGCATCACTTTGGTTAGGATTCACACTACCAAAGCCTCCACCGCCCATTGCTCCCATAACTCCAGCCTCACCCATCGTGATTGCTTTATATTCTCTGTATGCATAAAATGAAATGACAAGAGCAATAATATAGAAAGCTACAAATAATCAAGCTATGATAAATTCTCCTTTCTTTGCATCAATATCTGAATTTTGTAGAATTAGACCTGCAAATGAGAACATTTGAAGAAGCCCAAGTAATAACCTGAGTATATACATCACCATGCAGCAGAAATTAGCTTGAGAATTTGCACAGAACAGGACCATAACTGCTATCAGCTCAAATATTCCTCTTGTACCAGCCACCACAATAAAGGCAATTGCCAAACCAAGATGTGCCAAAAGGACCACCCATAACAAGTTCCTGTACATTTTTGCAGCGGGTTGGTTGGGTAGTTCTGAGAAGAACTGGCCTCCTCCGCCACCTCCCATCATCATTGCAGATAGACACATCTTTATAGATTCTGAAAATTATTACTATTTTTCATGAGAATTAAGGGGTTTTGGGGTTTTGGGGTTTTGGGGTTTTGGGG